TGATTGATCCACCCAGTTGACCTTTTACAGCCATCAAAAAGGTGTACCCCCCAAAGCAACCTGACAACGATGTCTCCCCCAGTACCACGACCTCCCACTCCCCCTCCACGCCCTCCCATTTGAGGGCAGGGCAATGGCGTCCATGCGTGTGGTCTTTTCACTTTGTCGGTTTGCGAGCAAATTCGGAAATCACACAACGAACAAAACACGCACAACCCCCGTGGCCACGTTCTCGCCGAGTGTCGCCTTCTTTGCCCTGCTTGCCCGTTTGCTTGCTTGCTTGCTTGCTTGCTTGGTTGCTTGCTTGAAATTCCGCCTGCAGATTGCGACTGCACGAACCTTGTGCTGGCCCCATCATTCCTGCTCATTCCGGCCCCCTTGCATAGCAAAACTGTATTGGCTAGTTTCTCCTCTCGAACCAATGCGGATAGCAATGACATTTCCGGAGCGTTGCTAAGATGCTGGGCGCCTTGCGCACGATGTTCCAGAAACCCAAAACAAACATCATTCAAACCAACAAAGCTTGTCCCAAAAATGGGATCCCATTGCGCTTCATCATCATTGGCTCAGGACATGTGCCGAGCAAGCTTGCTTACAACAACCCGCGTGGAGTGACATGTAAAACTGCTCGCTCGGCTCAAGTCATTTGGGGGAGTGTTGTAGCCAGCCGGCATTTACGCAGCCATGAATCGTTTCATTTTGGTGTTCATTTGCTGCTGCAGCTTGTGGATGTGGTTACGCGGCAATACGCACCCTCCTACAGACGTGCTGTTTGCCAGCTGCGAGCAAATGCCCGTGCGACAACAGCACATCTCTCAATTGAAGCCGGGCGTAGCCCGTCCACCGCTACGTACGTCATGGGTTGGCTGGAACCTGTGTGGTGTTGCGGCTGGTGGAGTGCTTGCAGCATTTGCTGGCAAAAGCAAGACAATTTCAAGCCAAACCTGCCTTCACCGTCGTGGCAAGCCTTCAGCCACGGCTTGCTTTGCAGCTGGCAGTGATGTTGGTGTGGTGCTGCTTTCTGCTGGTGTTGGCAAGCGCATGGGTGCAAGCATTCCCAAACAGTATATCAAGCTTATGGGCTTGGAAATCGCGTTGCATTCGTTGGATACATTCTTGGACTGTGACGTTGCTGAAATTGTGATAGTTTGTGCCGAGGATTGGCAATATATTTTCAAAGATCATCTGGAAAAGAAGGGTTCGCTTGAAGTTGACGTCAAATTCACCACCGGTGGCAAGGAGAGACAAGATTCCGTCAACAACGGTCTGGCCAAGATTGAAGCTCCCATTGTCGCCATACATGATGCGGCCCGCCCCCTCGTCACCAAGGATGAGATAGAGAAGGTGGTGACAGATGCACGGGAACATGGCGCCGCTTTGCTGGCAGTCCGCACGAAGGCAACTATCAAACAAGCGGTCAGTGAATCAGAAGCCTTTGTCGAAGGCACTCCTAAAAGAAAGTTGTTGTGGGAAGCCCACACACCGCAAGTGATTCGAAGCGAGTTGTTGAGGAAAGGTTTCGAGAAGGCCGAGAAAGAGGGTTTGGATGTGACGGATGACGTTTCCTTGATTGAGCAGCTGGGCGAAAAAGTCAAGCTGACAGAAGGCGAGTACACAAACATTAAGGTCACGACCCCTGAAGATATTGCCGTGGCGGAAACTATTTTGAAGGAACGTGGCTTCGTTGCCCCGGCAGAATGAGAGCATTTTAATTTGCCATGTTTGATGGTGCAATGATGCCATTTGTGATCCATTAGTGTCAGGGTATGGTTGTACAGAGCTGCATGATTCATTTTCGTTTCTGACATGATGCGGCGTTGTGTGCTTTTTCGCGTGAGACAACCATTTGTTTGAGCTTGTTTTTGCCTCTGCTTGTGTTGTTCGAGATTTGTGGCGGAGTTGTGTCCTGTTGTTTTGTCATTCGCGTGCCTATGCTGGCGCAACGTTTCAATCTCAGACCTGGGAGTGTGAAGCTTCGTCGAGAACAGGCAGGCAGCGTCTTGTGATTGGAGCTTAACATATGGACAAAGCCTGGCTGCTTGCTGCAGGTTGTGGCTGTGGCTGTGTGACGGTGGTGGGAGGCCAGAGACTGCAACCTGTGCCCAAGAGCATTGCTTGCAAAAAAAATGCGTGTAAAATTGCGCTGTATGTTTCAAGCGAACAGTTTTGGTTGCTCAGCACAGCTTTAAACATGCTGAGCTTGATGTTCCGCTCAATCACTGACTCGACAGGTTGGGAGAATCCAGAAGATTTGATGTCTCTTTCGCTCCAGTCAGGTGGCAGAGAATAAATTCTTCTGTCGGCATTGCCTCTGACTTGCCTGACGCATGCCAGGAAACGATGCTGTGGGCACAGCCTTCAGCTGAGCTTTTCTGTGCAGTGTGCTGCTCGTGCTAGTAGCTCTTGATGACAGTGCGCTGTGTGTGATTAATCATTAGGGACTGCAGTCTACAAGGGGGCCCAATTTCAGGTTCCATGTCAGTGTCAACACTTGCCTTGCTGCCACCTCCGCCGAACCCTATTTTTCCCTACTACAGTGTAGTCTTTGGTCGTCCTTTTCTTCTGACTTATTGAGTTTGGTGGGCTAGGTTTCTTACGATAGTGCAGTGGAGGACCACCACAGCTGCCGGCACCTGGACAGGTAGGTACCAAAAGTGATCTGCACACTTCGAAAGACCGGAGTGGCTGTGCCCCTGTGCCTCGTCGCAATCAAAAGACTACAAGATCATCTTGGATAGCGTGTGAAGTGTCTGTGGAGATCTGGAGGTGTTCAGCAGCACGCCTGTGCCTTGCAATTGCATGTTCTGCGCACAGTCTGGAACAGCATAAGCGCATATGCTCAGGAATGATGGGTCTGACGATGTGTACCAGAAAGTTGCATTGGCCCCAGTGGCCCTAGTTTGCAACACCTCAGGAGGCTGGGGTTGCAGTTGGCGCTCCATGGTAGCAATTCCTGCCAGGCAGAGCAGCAAGAGAAAGCGTGCGACGCTTATGTGCTGACGCTGCCATGCCCTTTATGCGCAAGGCATTACAAGGCCTTGAAACAAGGCAGCTGCTTGAAACCGAGCAAGATGACGCAGCTGCTGCCTCCGAAGTAGCAGCTCAGCATGTTTTGTCATGCCTGCTCATCCTGAAGTGCTGACTGGCCTGTCCCAGGTGCGCAAGCAGCGGGTGTGCCTCCCAGCAGGATGAGAGTCAACCGCAGCTGCTTCAGAAACCCACCCAAGTTTGGCAAGCACAGGAAGCCCCACACAAGCGATGCAAACATCTCACCGAAAGCATGCTCTTTTGTCAAGTTCACCGGTGACGGTAGTTCACGACCCTTCGGACTTAAGGAAAGGGTTGTCAGCACGTACGTGATGAGTACACGCTCGGAGCCTGTCATCAAAAGTGTGTGCAAATCTTGCCAGCGAAAGCGAAAGTGGAAAGACATCCTTCAGGCCTCCAAGAGATGCAACGCCAGAATGCACGCAGACCGCAAGACGAAGCAGGCCCGTCCTGACTCGTGTCCAAATTTTGTGTGTATTGGTGCGAAGCTCGTTCAGGTGCCGATGCGACATTGAAGCAGCGCTACCCCAGGAGATCTTCGTGAGCAGTCAATATGACACTGCAGGTAGCACACGTACTTAAAAAGAGGAGATGGTACGACAGCATCATGCCCTTCCAGCCTCCCTGGGACAACCGTCCGACAGTTGGAGAGGCAGGCGGTATGCTATCCGTGAAGCGTCTTTTGATCTCATACTTCAGGTGCGTGAGCGGTTGGAAGCGCAGACCAACAATGCTGCCGCAAGCTTACCCGAGCACAGCTGCCCTTCTGCTCGCGGTGCGCGCTGGCATGTCATGGCACATCATGGCACGTAGAGATGCAGAGGCGTGGCGCAAAGAGCGAAAGGCAAGGGCAACAGTACCATCCTGAAAGCCTGATTGAGGGTGGCCAGACTTTTTGCATGCAAGTCTATGGCTGGTGGCCGAGGAGCAGACCTCCACGAAAGCCGGCACGATTGTGTTTTGGCTGGTGGTGCTCGTGCCCCTGCCTCAAACCTTTCAAACTGAATGTGTTCTCGTCATGGACTGATCCTTTGTGCAAGGTTAGCGGTGGCTCCTATTCTAGCTCGTCTGCAGCTGATTTTTGGTCTGGCATGTCGCACTTCCGGGTGAACTTTACAATCGCGAATCAGATTTGAGGCTCCACACTGAATGGGCCGATATCTTCCACGCGCGAGTCAAAGCTGGATGTTCCGGTGTAGCGTCACATGTGATAGACAAAAATGTGGCCCATGTCCCGAAGGTGCTTTGAGTCCGAAAGTTCTGAATGCGTGTCTTGGCAACAACGAGTGTGCATTCAGAGTTTCAGTTGTAAAAGATCTGCCGGATCCCAGTTTGCTCAGGAAGTGGTGCCATATCCACGGTCGGCGGCCTGCTGAAAATCTGGACCGACTGAACAGTCTATTGTGTTTGCAGGATTGCTCTCTACTGCGCGCTGGCGATTGCTGGCATCTGAGGGGAAGCCTTCTGAAGCATGTTGTCATCCAGCTTGAATAGTGATGCAGGTCATGCTTTTCAAAGCATGCAGCGTGGACATGACATGCGGGCCTTGGGGGGTCAGTGGCCCGAGTTGCGCTGGTGATGGCCGATTTGTTGTTATGGTCTGGCCTACAGCATGTTTGCCCGTGACGCAATGAGGCAATGCCTCCGATGTTTACGCCCGCTTTTGGGCGGACCTCCTCATTGGATTTTGTTCAGCAGGCAGCAGCGGAAGCAGTTCTCAGTTACACAAGCATGAGAAGACACGGACAACTGATGCCATCGCTGTGCATGGACGCTAATAGTTTGCTTCAATTTGACATTATGACCACAGCTCAGGCAGAAGCTTCGGTCCATTCAACTTTTCAGTAAAGGTGTCAGAGGCGAGAAGCTGCTAGGTGAACTGTATGCGTGCTCAGGAGCGCCGATTGCCCGTCCTCCTTTCCCAGAGGTTTATCTAGCAGGTGTTTCATCAGTTTAGCCGACTGCATGCACCTCAGCTGATCTGTTGATGATTGGCGCAAGGCCAATCAGCAATTACGTAGCTGCGCTCAGTGAGTGAGAACAGCAAGGGCAGAAAGCAGAATGACGATCAGTAGTATCGGGAAATTATGTCTGCCCGTTTGCTCTTTCGGCCAAGGGCTGGTAGCAGCTTCCGGACTGGCCCTGTCACGAGCACAATAGTAAATTTCTGTGCGACGCAATGGCCGAGTGCAGAGACACAGATGCGCACGCGCTGAAGATGACGCGAGCTCGAGCAAAGGCAATGGTCATGGAATTGGTTGGTGAAGCTCTTCTTAGCTTTTTTTTTTTAATTTCCTGGTTGTATTGTTGGACTCAGTTCGCCGATGTAACTCGCTCCACAACAGCTCAGGAATACTCTACCAAGCAGTTTCAGGGCAAGCTTGGGGACATCTTGCAGAAGGAAGCTCAGCAAGGTGATGTTCCCGATGAGTTGCCGGGCCGTTGGGCATTGGCTGAGGAGTGCCATGCTGACATTTTCGCTCGCTATGGCTTTAAGTCTGGCACTGGTGTGGAGCGCCTCCGGCCAATTGCTTTGATTCTCGAGAAATTCCCAGATCTCGAGGACAAGGTGCAGAAGCTGTGGAAACTTTTGGGCTTGAAGTCATCGCCCGCAGATCTACTCGCCAAGGAAGAAGTAGAGGTTTCCAAAGAGCCGGAACCTGCCAAGAACGCGAAGCCCATTCTCTCCAAGGCAAGGGCTCTGGCCTTCCAGGCGGAACTCCTTGGGGCATTCTCGGCCCCCTCCTTCCAGAAGAAGCTGGCTGAGCTGTCCCGCAAGCACATCACAAACTGGCGTGAGACAGATGGCAAGGCTTTTCTTTCACTGACGTCAGAGACAGGCCTCGCAGTTGATGCGCTTGATCAGGTCGAGCTGGAAGCGATCATGGAGAAGGCGAAGCTTGAGATCGCGTCAAGGTCCGTTGGTAGATCCAGACCATGATTTGAAACAATGAATGTGCCATAGTCAGGTATGGCTACGAGGCATCGCAGAAAGGCCTGAAGGAGCCTGTTAATGCAAGTCATGAAAGCTAGCGGAGCTAGGCTTGAGTTTAGTTTTGCTTTAGCACTAGTAGGCAGTAGTAGCCCAAGGTGTAAACTTGCACATGGCCTGCGTAATTCCTCAATCACCCACAGGATGCAGCGGAAGACTTCAACTCATGTGTTTTCATCCCACCCAACCCCAACCACAGGGTGAGGGCCACCCTCAACCACACCCATAGAGGGAAGGGAGGGTCCACCCCAAGCCCCCAAGCACAAGAAAAAGGGGAGGGGGCCTAGACCATGGGATGGGGATGGCCAGCAAGCAGGTGACCGTTTTCTCTTAGCATTAGCATGAATATTAGCTAATAGTATTTGCATGAGTGTTATTACTAGGAGCAGTATTAAAAGTAGTATTGGTATATAAGTGCGATAGGTCTGAATGATATGAGACATACCATCTACTAAAGAGTACTTAAATTGGTATTACTGCTCGTAGTCATGCCCGGTCTTCATAAATGCTGATGTTACTGCTGGTACTGTGTTTCTATCTCAAAATCAGTACTAAATATCAATAGTTAACGTGATATCTGCATCTGATCAATGTCAATGATCAATGCGAGCATTAAGATCAATGTTAATGTTGATATTCGACTTAGTCAATATTAGTAGTCATCGTGGTTTTGGTACTCGCATTAGTTTTAAAATCCATGCAACTATTCTTCATAATAGGATCAACATTGGCATGTAATTTTTTAGCAGGTGTATGAATACATTCATGTCAGTAGTATTGCTATTATCCGTGTTAGTATCACATGTTACTAATATTTCTGAAAAGGTTAGTCCTTTAAAGGGTAGCATCTCTGTGTCTTACATCTAGTATCAACATTAGCACGAACTGTAGTATCAGTGTTGCAACATGGTAAAAGTAATTGGCACAGGGAATATCATTCACTCGAGTATGAATGTGCATATGAGTATGATAACTACTAGCCGAATTCGTATTAGTAGGAATATAGATATTAGCATTACTCTCGTGTTTGGCATTCGTATGCGCATTCGTTTTCGTATTTATCTGAGCATCAGTGTAAGTACTAGTATCAAGTATTGATAGAAAGATAAGTTTATGTCAGAGCCATTAATATCAGCATCTTTATTTGCATTAGGCTTAATATTGGCAGTTATATGATTATTGATATTGTTCTTAACATATGAACACCAATATCAATATTTGAAAATTCAGATAGAATAAGTGATGTGTGTACGATTATTGGTATTAGTTTCAATATGTCTTTTCATACTAACATGAATGTCAAGCATTATTAGTATAAGTGTTAGTATAAGGATTAAGATTAGCATTCGTATTAATTTTCTTATTAGTATCAATATTTGTATTAGGCATTGGTAGTGGTATTGGTATTCACATTAGTATTAGAATTCATACTGCTGCTAAGATATGTAGTATGACCATGTTACACATTTGGGGCAGAGGGCTACTACTAGAACAGTGCATTTGAAAGAATATAACACCGAAACCAAGCCAAAAGCAAAAGAAAACTAAACACAGCACAAACAACAAACAACCAAACACGCAAAACAACACAAACAACTCAAAAACAAAACCTTCTTCAGAGATCAGCAATTTTTTTTGTTCATTTTTCTGTTGGTTCTTGGTTTGCCTCAGAAAGTAAGATAACTGAAAGGCTGTTTGCGGTTTGTGGCTTTCAGTTTGCCCAAAAAAGGCTGGCAAAAAAAGGAAGGCCAAGCCGAAACCGAACACCAAACAACCAAAACCTCTGCCCCAAGCCCGGATCTCCCCACAAGTGTTCTTTCTTGTTCAGGCTGGTCAGTCATTTTTGCCCTTCTGCAAACTCAGAAATGCTAAAATGGGAGGACTCGATTCACAGGAACCTCAAAAAATGCAGTCATGAAGTGGGTGGTGTACCTCTTCTGTTTTGTTTATAAAAAGTGTGGGGGGCGGGGGGACATCAACATGTCAAAAAAGTGGTTTGGATACTTCTTTAGTGCTCTTTACACAAAAGACCATAAACAGTACAGTGCAGGTATATATACATATATATATGTTACCATATGGCCAACAGGGTCCCCTATGATCCAGCTTAACTTCGTTTTACTGCAGAATCATATATTGGGGCCTTTTGAGGTTTAAGGCTTAAGGCTCCTACTTGGTAATATCAGCTTCATCCGGACGAGCGCTTAACCCTCAAGTGCTTACAGCTGCTATAATCACTACGATTTACGGCTTAGGATTTGAGGTTTAAGACTTAAATTTCAAAATATCAGTTGCACTTAAGCGAGCACTTGGTTTTCAAGTGCTCAAGACGCATACTTAGAATTACTCTAAGCACTCCGGATTAAGTTTTAGGGTTCATGGCTTAGATTTAGTAATGGCGGCTTCACCTAAAAGAGCGGCTGGCCTACCAAAAAGCGATCTTGGAAGCATCATGGGTCTGGAAAGGGGTCTGCAGGACCCAAGACAAGTAATTGTCGTGGTCAGTTTAACCTTCAACTGAGGGAGACTTTGTTGACCTTCAAGAAGCAATCTTAGGGGTATAATGGGGTCTGGGAAGGTGTCTGTGGGGCATTTTTGTGTGTCGAAATTGATTTTTCGAGGTCAAAAAGTCTCCCTTACTTTTTCTTTAAACTGAGAGAGACTTTTGTTAACCTTCAAGAAGCAGTCTTAGGGGTATCATAAGGTCCGGAAGTATGTCTTGGGGCCCCAAGCAAGGCAATTTTTGTAGGTCGAAAGTTGGTTTTGGGGGTCAAAAAAAGTCTCTCTCAGTTTAACCTTAAACTGATGGAGATTCTGTTGACGTTCAAGAAGCAATATTAATTAAGGGTATCATGGGGTATGAAACGGAGTCTTTGGTGCCCAAAATAAATATTGTTTTTGGGTCAAAGTTGGGGCGGGGACCAAGATGTAAGCATCTTAGGGGTATAATGGGGTCTGGGAAGGTGTCTGCGGGGATTTTTGTGTGTCGAAATTGATTCTTGGAGGTCAAAAAAATCTCCTTCACTTTAACTTTAAACTGAGAGAGACTTTTGTTAACTTTCAAGAAGCAGTCTTAGGGGTATCATAAGGTCCGGAAGTATGTCTTGGGGCCCCAAGCAAGGCAATTTTTGTGGGTCGAAAATTGGTTTCGGGGGTCAAAAAAGTCTCTCTCAGTTGAACCTTGAACTGAGAGAGATTCTGTTGACGTTCAAGTAACAATATTAAGGGTATCATTGGGTATGAAATGGAATCTTCGGTGCCCAAGATAGGTAATTATTGTGGGTCAAAATTGGGGTGGGGGATCAGACTGATGTGATCTTGTTAGCAGCTTCTCGCATTGTTCGCTGCCTCGAATTTCATGCCAGTTACCCAATGTCTATGGCTTTACATTCTCATCTTACATTTCTCAAGAAGGAAGGATACGCACCACAGCTCACAGCCGCAGTGCCGAATATTATGCTTCTTCACGCACATATCCCCCAGAGCGCTCTACTTTTGTTCATTTTGCCTCAGTGCTTCCGTACAACGCACTCAAAACGTTCTGTCACTTCGATCTTGACATCTGCCCACGGATTTCTGCAGCTGCATTACAGAAATCTTGAATCGAACAGCGACATGTAGCTTCACATTACGCTGACACTTCGTGTGCTCTTAGAGCGTGCTGTTAAAACAGGAATATTCCAGACATTTCAGACATTTCGAGAGTTTCAAGCATCTCAGACATCTACGATATCCTAAATATTCAAAACTCTTTATAAATCAAAAATCTAGTGCCATTTCGCTGTTATAGAAATAGCTCACTATATAAAGAATAAGATACCCAGGATTTCTTAAATATTTGAAGCTTTTCAAGCATTACAAACATTCCAGACGTCTCAGACGTTTCAGACATTTCAGACATTTCAAATGTCCAAGATGTCTTTAATATCTGAATGTTTTTTTAGCATTTAACGAAATATGACTACAATTATGTTATACGAATGTAAGACTATAACGAATATAAGATATTCTAGGTTTCTTACATACTTCAGACGTTTCAAACACGACAAACATTCCAGACGTTCAGACGTTTCAGACGTTTCGGACGTTTCAGACATCTCCGACTTCTAAGATATCTTCAGCATTTGAAGTTTTTGTGGTTTCAACATCTGTTACTACTGCTAAGTTATAGAAATCTCGAACTATCCAAAGAATAAGTAGATGTTTCAGACGTTCCAGACGTTTCAGACGTTTCGGACGTTGCGGACGTTTCGGACGTTTCGGACGTTTCAGACGTCTCAGATATCTCAGACGTCTAAGATATCTTAAATATTCAAATATTTCGCTAAACTTGTATTTTTCAGTATTTCTATTTCGACTTACCAGAATATTCTTCCTGTATAGATTCTATATGGGTATATGAATATCCTTTAGTTTTTTCATTGTGAAATATTGTATTATTCTTTCAAAATACTATATCATAATGAATATTATATCTATTAAATATAATATATGTAAGAAAATATAGAATATATAATGTATAATATACTATATATCATAAATATATATATTTTATGTCATATTATATATTATATATAATATATATAATATATATTATATTATATATATATAATACATATAATATATATTATATATAAAATATATATTATATATATTATATAT